TAATAATAATGATAATAATAATATAATAATAATAATGATATAATAATAATAATAATAATATAATAATAATAGTAATAAAATAATAATGATTGATAATAATAATGATAATATAATAATAATAATATAATAATAATAAATATAATAATAATAATAATAATAATAATAATGATAATAATAATAATAATAATAATAATAATAATAATAATAATAATAATAATAATAATAATAATAATAATATATAATAATATAATGATAATAATATATATAATAATAATAATGAAAATATGATAATGAAATAATGATAAAACAATAATAATGATAATGAAATAACAATAATGAATACAACAATAACAATGATAATGATAATACTAATAATGATAATGATAGTGATAATATGATATAACAATAATAACGATGACAATAATAATTGTTATAATCATCTTTATTGATATCATTCATGATTATTGCTATTATCATTATAATTATCATTAGTGTTGTTATTATCATTGTTTATTATTATCATTACCCTTATTATTTCATTATCATTATTAGTGCTATTATCATCATTATCATTCTTCTGATTATTATCATTATTAGTGTTGTTTTTATTAATATTACCATCATCTTTATCATTACTATTGTCACAATTATTGCTTTTATTTCTACGATCACTTTTATTATTGCTACTATCATTATTTATACGTTTATTTGTTTATTATTTATCATTATCATTATCATTACAATCTTTACTATTGTTACAACTATCATTATTATCCTCATTATCATAGTTGCTGTGATGATTATCATCATTATCATTATTATTATTATTATTATTATTATTATCATTATTTATTATTATATTATTATTATTATTATTATTCATTATTATTATAATTATTATTATCTTTATTATCATTATTATCATTATTATCATAAATTACTGTTATCATTATTATAATCATTATTATTGTTATCATCATTACTGTCGCTGACATTATTATTGCTTTTATGATCATCATTTTCATTATCACTATTACCATTATCATCATTATCGTTATTGTTATTAATATTTTCATTTATGATTACTGTTCTTATTACTACTATAATAAATATCAATACTAACATAATCCTCATTTTCTTCATGAATGTTCCTTTGACTGTTCCTACTGCTATTGTTATTATTAACAATATCATTACCATAACTGCTGTTATTACCATTGACATTTGAATAATGGTATAATTGTAATAACTTTGTTTATCATCATTATTATTCATGTCATAATCATTTTTTAATAATCATAATCATCATTATTATTGTTCACCACAGCACATATATCACTAACAACAGAACAATAATTACCCCAATATTTTCAGTTCCATCAGAAGGTTATATATGTTCACAAATTTTGAACATTCTGCGTATCATTTTCTCTCACTTGTGCAATTCTCCTAAATGAAACAGCTCAGCAATATGAACATGAATTCCAGCATTATGGACGCTGCTAATGTGAACGTAAGCGCATATGAACACTGTTAATTAGGAACAATGAACACCATCGCTTCTTAGTTATGAACACAGAACGGGCGAGGCTAAAGATGCTAATATCTAATAACAATATGGATATAGCCCGGTATGAGCACCCTGCAATCCCATATATACAAATACGTACATATTTATCCCTCTCAATAAACATAGACCATGTGCTTTGATTATTGAAATTGCAAATTAAAGGTTGGTCATAATTTCAATATGAATATAACCCTGGAACATTTTAGAGGGGAACACTGATTTATTGCCTCATGTTATTGGGAGTATCTGCTTTATTCGGATAATTTCAGTGTGTATAAAAATTGGGATATTTTCATTGAGGGATTTCTGTCCATAGAGATATGTATGTTGGATTATATACTTTGCCACCGGCGGTTTATATATGCTTATATGGACACGTGTATGAAAATGTATGTGGGATTCATCAGTGCATATATATATCTATATCTATATATATATATATATATATATATATATATATATATATATATATATATATATATATATATATATATATATATATATATATATATATACATACTATATATATATTATACATACATATAAATATATAATATATATATATATATATATATATATATATATATATATATATATATATATATATATATATATATATATATATATATATATATATATATATATATTATATATATATATATATATATATATATATATATATATATATATATATATATATATATATATATATATATATATATATATATATATATACATATATATATATATATATATATATATATATATATATAGAGAGAGAGAGAGAGAGAGAGAGAGAGAGAGAGAGAGAGAGAGAGAGAGAGAGAGAGAGAGAGAGAGAGAGAGAGAGAGAGAGAGAGAGAGAGAGAGAGAGAGAGAGAGAGAGAGAGAGAGAGAGAGAGAGAGAGAGAGAGAGAGAGAGAGAGAGAG